GAAGAGAGGTCCTTTGCACAAAGGACAAAAAGGTACGGCGATAGAGGGTCACCTTGCCGAAACCCCCAGGTTGGATGAAAAGTTCTCGTTGGGACCCCATTAAGAAGCACTAAATAGGATACAAATGTAATACAATGCAAGACAACGTTAATGAAACTTTGGTTGAAACCTAGCTTCTCCATTGTGCCCTGCACAACGACCACTCATATGTTTTGCTCATATCAATCTTCAATGCAAAGTGTCCATCCTTACCGCTCCTATTTAATTTCATGTAGTGAAAAACTTTAAAGGCTATAAGCATGTTATTAGTATTAAGGCGGCCCCCTAATAAAAGCACTATGATTAATTGATATAATAGATGTAAGCACAAGTTTTACGCATTTTGCAAGAACTTTGCTGACAATTTTTTATACCATGATGCAAAGGATGTTTGGTCTAAAATTTGACATCCTCCGTGGGTTTTCACCTTTGGAACCAAAACTATATAGTTGTCATTTGCCATTGATATGTCTTGGGAAGAATTCAAAATTTCAAGGATAGCTGTAATCACCTGCTGACCCACTATCGCCCAAAATCTTTGATAGAATAGAGCAAGTTTCCTTTGGAGTATGAGAAAATGGGGTAGGGCTTTGGAGTAAATATTCTAAAATAAAAAAACTATTTTCAAATACTGTATTTTGAAACCAAAGCTCTAGTTTTTTGAAAATGTTAATCTCAGTTTCTCGGATCAGTTTATTAACTACTAGAAGTACTGGCACACACTACGTGTGTAAATAAGTTAGGTATGGTAGTTACCAATTAAAGAGTTAGATAGGGTAGCATGATCCGGCTTCATCTGCACCAACTCAAGAGTTGACTTTCTATAATATAATAGATATACACGATATATATATGTGTGTTTATATACTTGATTGTGCTTATGTGGTAGAGGAGCATAAGAGGGGGTAGCTACATATGTATATCCAGAGACCCAATTTGAGAAATCTTCACAGGTGTGGCTGGATTGTTGTTTCTAGTGGTGATATGAACCCTGGAGTTGTTGGTAGAAGAGATGCCCAGGGAGTTTCTACAACAATCCAGGTGCCAACCCTCTCAATGATTTTGGAAATATTGGAAACAAGATGATGAGTTGGGAAGTGTAATATTTTTTAAAATGATTTTTGTAATGATTTGTTTTCTTCTTTCTATTAAGTTATGAATGATCCACTGATTTTTTAAAACATATGAACAATTTTGCAAATTCTTCATGTTTAAATGAGGTTGTTGCAGGTGTAACAAAAATATTCTTTTGCTACATACTAACCTTTTGTTTCCATTGAATTATGCTTACATTACATTGAATAGTTTGGCAGTGAATGGTAGTTTGTTGAGTGGGTGAAATCTTGGTGATGGTATCCATGCATTTCCCAGTTAACCACTGACACACACATATATGGAATTGGGGCCACTGGTAATTGTAGATATTTAGGTATATAATTTTAATTGATGCCAACCCAATTGCTTTCCTGATCTCTCTAACCTTGTACTTTCTAGTTCTGGTTGCATTTGATCTTGAATTCTTGCTAAATAAGAATTTAATGTTTTTTTTCTTTCTTTCTTTCTAATTTACTTTGTAAATATTGTTGCTTCCTTGATGTAAATTTCATCTAACTAAATTCTCTCTCACACTATCTGTGTGTATATAAATGTGTTGAATGCAAGGCAAGGGTATTTTGGTCTCTGGAATGTTAAGAAAATGGGTAATTTAGGTACTTAAATAGTCAAATTAGCTGACCCCACCAGATTCTGTTGGTCAGTTGAATGGTGAGTTAACAGAGGGGAGCTTCATACATATTGTAAGAAAAAAAATCAGGGAGAACAGTGTTATTTCAGAAACCACAAAGGGGGTCTTTGCAATTGTCACAATTAGCCCTTATATTATGTTAGTGCTGTGTCTAACAGTATAGGGATAAAATTGGTAATTGGTGAAGGGTATCAAATGACAATGCCACTTGGTATTGTGTGCGTATTCAATAATTTTTCTCACAATAATACTATGATGATCATATTTTATTTATAATCTTATGTGTCACCATTATATTGGTAAAATATACATGAATAGTGTGAATTGGTACATAGAATAATAAATAAAATATATTAAAAAAATATGATTATTATACTGCTGCTGCTAGTTTCTCTGTTCTCAAGTTGGTCTCACTTTCACAGGCACGGTTATTTACTAGAGTTAATAGAGAGTGCCAGCAAGAGCGAGTGAGAGTGAGATTGCGTGGGTTCAGTAAGATGGAGGTCGGTGGGTCTGATTCTGATGGCCGAGAATTCAAGAATGCAGAGGACATGTGGAGGGAAGAGGTAGGAGACCTCCATAAGAAGTCTGAATGGTACAGTAAAGGCGTTGGTTATTGGGAAGTGAGTAACCTTTAAAACCCTTCTTCTAGTTAAACCCGTACAAATTCTTATTCTATTTGTTCTAATTCTGACACACATATAGGTATATACAAGTGTGTATATGTGATGTATCAATTTTTTACTTAGTTATATGTGTATGTATCTACATGTATGTATTTGTATGTTATTAATTGGTTTATTTTATGTGCGGTTGTGTTCTTTTGGGAGAAAAGAGTGTGGAGGCATCTGTGGATGGTGTGTTAGGTGGATATGGGCATGTCAACGAGCCAGATATCAAATCTAGTGAGGCATTTCTCAATACCCTTTTGTCTGATCGATTCCCAGATGGTGGAAGAAACCGGCATCTTGTTGCGCTAGGTAAGAAAATGGCTACTATGCTCTACTCTACCTATGTATATGCTTGCGTTTGTAATACCGTTATAGTTGCCAGTGAACTTTGTGAGAACTGATAAATTCTACGCTGGTATAATTCAAAAGAAAGACATAAGTGTAAGATATTCGATTTTCTAATTTTTTTTTTTGGTGTGTGGGTATTTGGTGAATGATGAATGTAAAACTTTTTTGTTCAAATAATAGCTCCTTAGTAAGGATGTCTCGCCTCCAACCTAAACCAGCTAACATGTGATGACGTTGCACACTCACAAGACTTGGTCATATAAGCATGCAAGGCTCCTAGAAAACTTGTTCATTTATAATCCACAACATGCAAGAGGAAAAACTCAAAAAGTCATTTTTTACAATGTTAAGGTCTCAGCTACAATTCCATAGCTCCGTTTAGGTGGAGCATAACATAGAAGCAGTCTACTAATCTGAATGAAATTCTCAATTGTCCTCCACTCTCATCACCCCCCAGGTGTGGCTGGATTGTTGTTTCTAGTGGTGATATGAACCCTGGAGTTGTTGGTAGAAGAGATGCCCAGGGAGTTTCTACAACAATCCAGGTGCAAACCCTCTCAATGATTTTGGAAATATTAGAAACAAGATATTGAGTTGGGAAGTGTAATATTTTTTAAAATGATTTTTGTAATGATTTGTTTTCTTCTTTCTATTAAGTTATGAATGATCCACTGATTTTTGAAAACATATGAACAATTTTGCAAATTCTTCATGTTTAAATGAGGTTGTTGCAGGTGTAACAAAAATATTCTTTTGTTACATATTCATTACTAACCATTTGTTTCCATTGAATTATGCTTACATTACATTGAATAGTTTGGCAGTGAATGGTAGTTTGTTGAGTGGGTGAAATCTTGGTGATGGTATCCATGCATTTCCCAGTTAACCACTGACACACACATATATGGAATTGGGGCCACTGGTAATTGTAGATATTTAGGTATATAATTTTAATTGATGCCAACCCAATTGCTTTCCTGATCTCTCTAACCTTGTACTTTCTAGTTCTGGTTGCATTTGATCTTGAATTCTTGCTAAATAAGAATTTAATGTTTTTTTTCTTTCTTTCTTTCTAATTTACTTTGTAAATATTGTTGCTTCCTTGATGTAAATTTCATCTAACTAAATTCTCTCTCACACTATCTGTGTGTATATAAATGTGTTGAATGCAAGGCAAGGGTATTTTGGTCTCTGGAATGTTAAGAAAATGGGTAATTTAGGTACTTAAATAGTCAAATTAGCTGACCCCACCAGATTCTGTTGGTCAGTTGAATGGTGAGTTAACAGAGGGGAGCTTCATACATATTGTAAGAAAAAAAATCAGGGAGAACAGTGTTATTTCAGAAACCACAAAGGGGGTCTTTGCAATTGTCACAATTAGCCCTTATATTATGTTAGTGCTGTGTCTAACAGTATAGGGATAAAATTGGTAATTGGTGAAGGGTATCAAATGACAATGCCACTTGGTATTGTGTGCGTATTCAATAATTTTTCTCACAATAATACTATGATGATCATATTTTATTTATAATCTTATGTGTCACCATTATATTGGTAAAATATACATGAATAGTGTGAATTGGTACATAGAATAATAAATAAAATATATTAAAAAAATATGATTATTATACTGCTGCTGCTAGTTTCTCTGTTCTCAAGTTGGTCTCACTTTCACAGGCACGGTTATTTACTAGAGTTAATAGAGAGTGCCAGCAAGAGCGAGTGAGAGTGAGATTGCGTGGGTTCAGTAAGATGGAGGTCGGTGGGTCTGATTCTGATGGCCGAGAATTCAAGAATGCAGAGGACATGTGGAGGGAAGAGGTAGGAGACCTCCATAAGAAGTCTGAATGGTACAGTAAAGGCGTTGGTTATTGGGAAGTGAGTAACCTTTAAAACCCTTCTTCTAGTTAAACCCGTACAAATTCTTATTCTATTTGTTCTAATTCTGACACACATATAGGTATATACAAGTGTGTATATGTGATGTATCAATTTTTTACTTAGTTATATGTGTATGTATCTACATGTATGTATTTGTATGTTATTAATTGGTTTATTTTATGTGCGGTTGTGTTGTTTTGGGAGAAAAGAGTGTGGAGGCGTCTGTGGATGGTGTGTTAGGTGGATATGGGCATGTCAACGAGCCAGATATCAAATCTAGTGAGGCATTTCTCAATACCCTTTTGTCTGATCGATTCCCAGATGGTGGAAGAAACCGGCATCTTGTTGCGCTAGGTAAGAAAATGGCTACTATGCTCTACTCTACCTATGTATATGCTTGCGTTTGTAATACCGTTATAGTTGCCAGTGAACTTTGTGAGAACTGATAAATTCTACGCTGGTATAATTCAAAAGAAAGACATAAGTGTAAGATATTCGATTTTCTAATTTTTTTTTTTGGTGTGTGGGTATTTGGTGAATGATGAATGTAAAACTTTTTTGTTCAAATAATAGCTCCTTAGTAAGGATGTCTCGCCTCCAACCTAAACCAGCTAACATGTGATGATGTTGCACACTCACAAGACTTGGTCATATAAGCATGCAAGGCTACTAGAAAACTTGTTCATTTATAATCCACAACATGCAAGAGGAAAAACTCAAAAAGTCATTTTTTACAATGTTAAGGTCTCAGCTACAATTCCATAGCTCCGTTTAGGTGGAGCATAACATAGAAGCAGTCTACTAATCTGAATGAAATTCTCAATTGTCCTCCACTCTCATCACCCCCCATAAAAGGTCCCACAAAGCTTTAATTGTCAAAATCTGTGAAACATAGAAGAAAATAATGAGCTCAACAGCCTAGTGAGTTAATCACTACCACAACTAGATGGATCAAGTATGCAAAGAGATTCAGTAAATTCCAAAAGGAAGATCCATTTAGGTTTATCTTTTGGTTCAAATGATATACTTAAGTTTTAGTTTAAATTATCGTTATGATATACATAATTATCTGGAAAGTTTATACTTGATTGGTGGGTATCTTGGCAATTGTTAATTTTTAATGTTATCTAAAACTCCTGCAGATTGTGGCGCTGGCATTGGGAGGGTCACCAAGAATCTACTGATAAGATACTTTAATGAGGTGATACTCTAATAATATATATATATTTTTTGAAAAACCATTATTTGTTTCTTTCTTCTGGTTTTTAGTGGATTGTGCATTCTTCTAAAAGACTGATTTTGCAACACGTTCTCTCCTTTCTGATCTTTTTGACTTGCAGTGCATTTATCTTGATCATTTTATAATGAACTGAAATAGTTCCGCATGAAAGATGCACCTTTACTTGTATGCAACAAATATTGTCAACATATTTGAGTATCAAGTTATGATTGTATCTATAGTTAGGTTACATTTTGCTAATTTAACATAGCCATGCTGCAAGTTGTGTAAAATACAACTCATAACATCTTATACATTGTTTTGATAAAAAAGATGTTCTATTGAAAAGGAAAAAAGGGGAGAGGTAGAGGCCTCCTGGGCCGTAGAAGCAACAAATGTATAATGGATATGTCATGCAATATGTTATTACCTTTAAACTCCATAAATTAGATACCAAAAAAATCTGCAATTTGGGAATTTTTCTCTTCCATCCCTCCAGTTAGAGATTCAACTACATATAACATCTCATTCCTTTCCATGTCAAGTACAACTCTTTTGCAGAAGCTTGTTCATCAACATCTTGGCCCATTTAGACTTCATTCGGCAATTAAGTCCGAACTTATTGATTTGATGTATCTATTTCTTTGTAAGCTTACTGTCATACTCTTGTTCTCTAAATTTATATAATGCACCATTTTTTTTTGAAGCTATGAATTAAATTACCACCAAAGATGTAGGAAGACACCCGAGACTTCAGTCAACTTAATGAAGCCTTATTTCACATTTGCTTGAGGACAGCTGCACAATTTTTTCCCTAGTCACTCTATCAATTGTTTTGCCTTCTGCAATGTCATAAGCTGTCCCAAAGAGCATGCCACTATCGTGTTATTCCAGTTTCAAAGTGACTTTATAAACCAACTTTTGATTAAACTTTTGCAATATGGTTAGAGAGAAATGACATTTTTAACTTGTAACATTATTCGAGATAATCCAAACACAAGCCTATTAACATGTGACAATATTCAAAATAATCTACCCATAATGATCTACTCTTACCCTTTACACATGCTTGGATAATAAATCTGTTGCCAAAGTTTGGTCCACCATAATAACTTTTTAGGCATTTGATTTACAAGTGGACAACTTTGAGGGAGAGGATTCACTTTCTTAACAAATTTAGACAAGAAGTTGTGGATAACAAGTGTAATATCTGTTATGGACCATTATGGTCTGTAATGATTTGTACCCTAAATCAAACTTTCACTTGCACTCATAACTAATTGGTCTACATTTGACTCCCATTCTATGTGATAGTCAAACACTTGGTATGTATTGCCTTGGTGAAATAATTAACTAGATTCTCCACATACGCAATGTGTTAGTGTCGTGACTCAAGATGATGTCTCCAAGCTTGTCAATCTCTTTGATGAGGCGATGCTCTCTTTGTTTTTTCCTCCCTTGTGGTTTCTTGGCTCCTTGAATTGTGCAACTGTCTCATTATTATCACAACAAAGGATCATAGTTGGTCTTGCCAAAGGTACCACCAGTGTTGTAAAAAGCCCGCCTAGGCGCAAGGCGAGGCGAGGCGAGGCGCACTGTTTGCGCCTAGGCAAGGCGCTTTGAGTTAGGCGCGCGCCTTAGCCGCGACTTGAACCAGGCGACAGAGGCGCAAGGTGCATGACTAGGCGCGCTTGATCTTTTAACAGCTAGATCTGATCTAACGGCTGCGGCGGCGTGTTCGAATGACTCTTAACCACATAGGATTACAACTCATGTACAATATGACCCAAATACGACTCAAATGAACCCTAATCTGTGTCGTCTCTTCCTCTCTCGCCTCGCCTTGGACTTCGACTTCGACTGGGTGTGTTCGACTTCAACTTCGATTTCGCAGGTATGCTTCACCATCTTCTTCTTCTTCTTCTCCTCTTTTGGTCTGCTCGAGCTCGACTTCAACTAATTCGTAGTTCTGTTTTTTTTTTTTTTTTTGGCTTCGACTTCGACTCTGACTCTCTCTCTCTTTCTTCTTTTTCCTCTTTTGGCTCTGTTTTCTTCTTCTTCTTTTTCTTTCTTTTTTTTTTTTTTTTCTTTTTTTTTTTTTTTTTTCAATTATGCCCGAGTCTGTTAAAAAAAAAAAAAATACAAATACAAATACAAAATAAGATTCTGATTAATTAATACAATGTGCTGCTATTGGTCTTTTTTTTTCCCCTTTATAATACAAAATAAGATTCTGATTCTGATTAATTAACTAAAAAAAATACACTGATTTTTTTTTTACAAATAATTAATTATTCACAAATAATTAATTAATACAATGTGCTACTGGTCTTTTTTTTTTCCTTTATCTGTTAGGGGAAAAAAATAGATTTTGATTCTGATTAATTAACTAAAAAAAATACACTGAAAAAAAAATTACAAATAATTAATTATTCACAAATAATTAATTAATACAATGTGCTACTGATCTTTTTTTTCCCTTTATCTGTTAGGGGAAAAAAATAGATTCTGATTCTGATTAATTAACTGAAAAAAATACATTGAAAAAAAATTACAAATAATTAATTAATACAATGTGCTATTGGTCTTTTTTTTTTTTCCTTTATCTGTTAGGGAAAAAAAATTACAAATAATTAATTCATCACACATTACATTACACTGAAATTATTTTCCATTTATTAAATTTGTTGTATAGAAAATGACATCGGAAAGTAATAGAAAAGATCCGGCGTGGCAATATGCCCATTTGGTAGAGGAGAATAATTTAAATGAGTTCGAGTGTAATTTTGGTGGTAAAGTATCAAATGGAGGTGTTTGTCGGGTGAAACAACACCTCGCGGGAGGTTGTAGGAATGTCACTGCTTGCCCGAAGTGTCCAGCCCATGTAAGAGAAGAGATTAGAGAGTTCCTGTAAAAAAAGAAGACACAAAAAGAAGAAATGAACAAATTGCCTGATTTCGATGACATGGACATGGAAGATGAAGATGAAGATGATGATGTTGTTGAGATCAATGTCAATCAACGCCGTAAGTTGACAAGTAACAGCCAAGGTTCATCCAAATCCAAATCAAAAATGCCAAAGAGAAAAGGGCCTATGGATGTTTACTTTACACCCAATCCTGAATCAGTGGTGAAAAATCGAAGAGATCAAGCAAAAGGGAAGCAAGCCAAAGTTGATGCAAATGACCCTTACAAAAAAGAAATGAGATCTCGGACAGTGCAAAGATTTGCAAGGTGGATGTATGATGCTGGTATCCCTTTTAATGCAGTAAATTATGAGAGTTTTGGACCAATGATTGAAGCCATTGGGCAATATGGTCCTGGTATGAAGCCACCAACTTACCATGAAGTGCGGGTTACCCAACTCAAAAAAGAAGTGAAACATACTGAAGATTTGATGAAGAATCATAAAGAGGATTGTGCAAAATACGGGAGTTCCATAATGGTTGATGGCTTGACTGATAAGAGAGGAAGGACATTGATTAACTTTTTAGTTAATTGTCCAAGAGGAACCATGTTTGTTGAGTTGGTTGATACTTCTAGCTATTCAAAGGATGGGCAAAAGCTATTTGAATTACTAGACAAGTTTGTGGAGAAAGTTGGAAAAGAGAATGTGGTGCAAGTTATCATTGATAGTGCTGCACCTAATGTGTTGGCGGGTAAGAATATTTCTTCATTCCTTACATCAAAATTGTTTACTCATAGTTTGTTTTGTATTTAAAATTTAAAAATTTGAAAATAATAATTTTTCGTTATTGTTACATTATAAGGAGGTTTTTGGAAGCCAAGTATGAACACTCGTATTGGACACCATGTGCTGCTCATTGCTTGGACTTGATGTTAGAAGACATTTTCAAGATACCTAGATTGAAAAAGACATTTGAAAGGGGTATTGCAGTACATGGCTACATTTACAACCGACCTACTTTGTTAAACATGATGAGGTGCTATATAAATTTGAAGAATTTGATCAAGCCTGCAAAAATTAGATTTGCAATCGCCTTTCTGACTTTGTCTAGGATGCATCAACAAAAAAATAATTTGAGAAAGATGGTCACCTCCGAAGATTGGACCTCAAGCAAATGGGTAAAGGAGCCACAAGGTAAAAGAATGTCACAAACTTTGTTGATGCCTTCATTTTGGAATGCTGTTGTGTTTGCCTTTAAGGTCTCGGGTCTTCTCGTCAAAGTGCTTAGATTGATTGATACCGAGAAGAAACCTCCCATGGGATACATTTATGAGACAATGGATAATGAAAAAGAATGCATTGTAAGTTCATTTGATCATAAAGAAGAGAAGTATAATGAAATCTTCGAATTCATCGACAAAAGATGGGATGTCCAATTGCATCGGTCTTTACATGCAGCTGCGTACTTTCTTAACCCAGAATTCTTTTACCCAAAAGCGTTAGAGGTGCAAAAAGATCATGAAGTGATGAATGGGTTTTATGAATGCATGCAAAGGTTGGTCCCGGATGTCACTGTTCAAGATTTGATCACTAATGAGATGAGTATTTATATGAAGGCTGAGAGTCTTTTTGGCAAGTCTGTTGCGATTAGGCAAAAAAATACAAGGGCATCAGGTAATATATTATAGACTCATAGAGTTTATTTTTAGTAATACTTTTAGTAAAACTCAATACTTGGTAACAATTATTTCTAACTAGTGATTATCGCAGCTGATTGGTGGACATCATATGGTTCTAAAACTCCAAACTTGCAAACTTTTGCCATAAAAGTCCTTAGCCTAACATGTAGTTCATCGGGTTGTGAACGAAATTGGAGTGTATTTGAACATGTGAGTATTTAACATTCTAACTAATTTTTTGTTCAATTCAAATATTTTTTATTCTCATTATATAGAATTTAATATCTTTTTAATACTTGCAGCTTTATAGCAAGAAAAGAAATAGATTGGAACAACAATGTCTCAATGATTTAGTGTATGTCAAATATAATAGAACATTGAGATTTAGGTATGACATGCGTAACACTCTTGATCCCATATCTTTGCAAAATATTGATGAAAGCAATGAGTGGTTGCTTGGGAGGATGGATGGAGAATCAGATGAAGATAATGGGCCTGTGTTTGATGATGATGATGGCTTGACGTGGGCCACTGTTGCTAGATCTTCTGGAGTAGAAAAAAGTAGCCATGCAAGTAGAGCAACAAGTTCACGCTGAAAGGCACAACCGAGGATATCTAAATCATCAAGATTAACTCCACTTCAATTAATAGATGAAAAGGAAGCGGGCTCAGATGATACAGAGGAGGAAGATGTTGAGAGATATAAATCAACTGATGGAGAAGAAGATGATAGTTTGCTTGCCATTGATGTTGAGGATGATGATTGACTGACCGACCTAAGTTCTAACCTTTTTCTTTTGATATTAATGTTTTGAAGTGTTAAGACATATATTAGTATTTGTTGGATATTTATGTTTTGGATGTAGTGTTTATGTTTTTGTTTTTATTTTATTAAATATGGATTATTTTATCTTTGAAAATTGGAATGTTATGTAATATGCACTTTCATGGCTTTGAGAATTATTTTATATTTTGTCTTGAATCTTGATTACTTGTTATTTTTAAAAAATTGTCTTAGTACTATGAATGATTAGTTTATGTTAATTTTTTTTTTTATTTTTTACTAAGACTGTGCGCCTTACTTCAATAAAGCTCGCGTCTCGCCTTGCGCCTAGGTCTCGAGAGACCTTCAGTGACTTAGTGTGCCTTGAGCCTTAAAAAACACTGGGTACCACTTCAAGCTCCATGAGAAACTTCCGGAGCCATATGCTTTCTTTAGCTTCTTCACGAACTAGTGTATACTCAACCTTTGTGGTAGAATTAGAAACACATAATTTTTTACACTCCTTTAGATAATTGTGTGAGAATTTTAGGTTAGGTTTATATATATGGTAGTAAATATTGTGTATATATATGACAATGCTTCCTTTTCCTATATGGCAGTGTTAATATTAGGTTAGGTTTATATATATGGTAGTGTATTTTGTGCATATATATGGCAGTGTTTTTTTTTTCTTTTTAGTCTTAGGGTTAGGATTATTATATAATCAGATGTATTCTTTGTATTATGACACAATTGAATATACAGATTCTTCATAAAACTTACAAATTGCTCCACCTCTATGAAGCACAGATACTTCTAGAAGGGATTCATATCTGTATTCAATATCGATATTGCTCAGATACTCGTGCATACATATCCGATACTTTGTATCAATTTTGTTTAATTTTGAGAAGTATCGAATAATTTTCGGACACTCTAGGTTACGTATCCAAACTATTTTGAAATTAAGATTGTAAATTTTTCCATAGCATTAGAGTATAATTGTCGGGATAAATGTAAGAATAACTTTTCAATACTTTGCTTACTTGGGAGAAGAAAAAGGTGAAATTATCCCTATATTTTCAGAATTTCTCGAATTGATATATCTTTATAAATGTGTCATACACCTATCCCATATCAATACTCGTTAGAAAGTAATGAGAAATAAGGAAACATGATGATACTTAAATGGATTTCGACAATTAAACAAGCAAGAACTTGTGTACAACACTCTTTAAGTATGAAAGGGAAAAGTACACCGGCAATAAAAATAGTTTGGATTTGATGAGAACAACTTTTAGTTTCTGAATGGTTGTAAGCTTTTGTTTTTTCCCCCTTAAGCTTTAGTTCCAAACATAGACTGTTTCTTTCTCTCATTCTTTTTCCCTGATGTAGCTTTACTTCTCTGGAATACTTCTGTTTTTTTCCCTTGAAAGGCCTCAACTATTTTTTTTTTGCCCTTCTATACTTTCAACGAGTCTCCTGAATCTGAATGGCTAAATGAAGCCATTCAACTTTTAAAACCAAGTTCCTTCCCTTAAAAAAAAAGAAGCCATATATGAGCTAAGTGGGCAGGGAACTAATTGTCTAGGATCAGGCTTGGATGTCTAGACTAGGCCCGATGTTTGGCCGGGCCAGGCTTGGGCCTACACGAAGTCCCTTAATATATAGTTCGAGCTCGGCCCGGTCTGTCAGATGCGATCTGTCAGATGCCCCACCCCCTAGGGCCCTAGTAGACACATAACAAAAGTCAACTTTGCACAAATCCTAAACAAACATTAAGTAAGAATCCATATATCCATTTGGCACCAAATTCTCACCACCATAGACAAGCATATAGTCTCTGTTAGCATATTATATTAAGTGTTAGCATATTATATTAGCCGAAAGGCACACTAGGGTCTGTCTGTAATCACTGTAATCATTTTATGCACTCAGGGATAGCACTCAGGGATCATCTTGTAATTGCATTTCTTGTAAACCCTAATCTTCTTTTATAAATAGGGGGTGATATTCTATCATTCCCCAAGCTGGTTACCCAAGCTTCAGTCTCTAGTCTTTCTCAAGTCTTTAAGTATATGATTTATCGACATTCAATGTTCTTGTCCAAGATTTCACCGGTATCTGCTGACTAAGTCCACTGCATAACATATATGTGGTCCAGTACATAGCCTTGCGTACATAAGGCTTCTAATAGCTGAGACATGGGGTATCACTCAGCCTTCGCAAACCTGTTAGATAACGGTTATTACATTATAAAATTATGGATGGGACAGAAACAAGCGATTGTTTTGAAGGAGTTCTTGAGAAGCCTAGGGCATGCTAGGCATAGTTATTACAATATTTGTTTTTGTTCTATTTACAAAAAAGAAAGTTGAAAATTGTTTGTCTTGCTATTCTTAACTGTCAAGTATCAGTTTTAGGAAACATAAGAATTATGTGTGGTGTTTTTCTGTTCTTTGTTTTGTGTCCTTGCTAAAAAAATATAAAAATAAATGTTAAAGTGTCATATGTCCAAGTTTATTTGATGTTGCTGATTTACCATTTAGATAAATCATTTTGGGAAATTATGCTAAACAGGTCCTAAGGTTGCCAATAGAGAAGCATCCTATCCTACTCTCTTATTGGTGACTGTCCCAAAAGTAATGAGGCACTAGTTTCAATTGACTGTCTTTTCCCCATCATCTTTGATTCTAAGAGGCTTTTATCTTATTAAACCTATAGGAAAAATAAATAACTAACACCGCATTATTTTTTTCGTTGTAGATTACATTAACCTTCCCTTGAGGTTTGGAAAGAATACAAGAAGCCTTACAAGTTTGACATAATTATATTGACCTCCTTTTTAGTTACGGTAAAGCAAACTAAACTAATGCAGGTGGTGTGTGGCAAAGAGATTATCAAGGATAAAGTATACATACCCTAAATAAAGTATACATTTCAGTGTAAAGAGATGACACCATTATTTTTCATCCTACGGCTAATGGATGATTGATTGGAAGACATCAATGTGTTATGTGAATTTAAACATTAAGAGAGGACAGTGTAATTATGCCTATTGTGTGCAGCTTGTATTTTTCCCAAACCTTAAGGGGGGGAGGTTGGTGCAATTTACTTTTTTTTTTTTTTTTTGAAAAAACTTTATTTTGTTATTTGTCTGTACTGAAATAAATATTTAAACTCCAATGGTAGGGTTTTGCAACAATGAACTCACAGAGAGGAGTGATTGACACACCAATGCCCGAATAGGCAAGAAGCTGCAAACACAGGCTCTTGCCACCATTATTCAGCTTCTAGGGTTGTAATTGTGGCTTATGGGCTGTGCAGAAGGGTGAAGATGAGAGTAACATAAATTGTATGTATCCTGATTAGGAAGTTTGGTGCTGGGGATTTGCTGGTGTGAGTTATGGGTACTTACACATTTATCTACAAATGATTTTTTCTTTATTCTTCGTACTGTGGTATTGTTTGGGTTTACCAAAACTGAGTAAACATTAAGCATTCATTGTCTTTGCTAAAGTCCTCTGTTGTGCTTGTATTAAAATGTTTGCTTTGTTGAAGATGTAACATGTATAAGGCTAAAAGCTTGATCCTATGTTCATAAAATTTCAGTAGACATTCCTGATTCTTCTTTTAGATAACATGTTGTCATCTTGGTTAAATCTGAAGTGTTTTGTACAAATACCTTTGGGGAAGATGTAGTTTTTTTCACTTAGATTGCACGAAGTATAGAAGTGAAAGTGATGTAGACAGTAGGTAGACTAGAAAGAAAATATAAAGGAATATGTAAATTTAGTTCGATTCTATGGCAAGGCTCACTTATAATCTTATTTCTTCTTTTTAAATATTTTGAAGTCCTTTATATATTTCAATAAAGTTGGTTGCTAGAGTTAGGTGAGAAAATTTCTAGATTTGTCATCTGTTTACTGGGAATTATTTAGCTTTACTTTTGAGGTATTATTTGTTAGTTTAGGTCTGTTTGGTAGGTTTTCTTGGTTTGAAGTAGGTCAGTGTTAGCTTATCTTGTTTCCCAAGATTATTCTTCTAACTTCTAAGAACAATATTTTGTGTTATTGAGTAATCAGGATGATTTCTGTATTGGAAGTTCTTGCTGAACAAATGGATGGATGGAATAATTTTTGAGTGTACAAGTGATATGTTATTGAATCTCTCATAGGTGTGATCAATATTACCTAGAATGCAAATCGTGCAATAAAAATTTAATAGAGATCACAACAACCGTTTGACTTGCTTACTTTTTGAATCTTTTATCAGAAGCATTTTCCCTCTCAGGTCGCTTAATGTCTAACATGGCTTTGTTTGATTCAGGTCGATCTTCTTGAGCCTGTATCACATTTCCTGGAGGCTGCCCGTGAGAATTTGTCTCTTGAAAACCTCACGGTTTTAGACTCCCACAAGGCCTCCAATTTTTACTGTGTCCCTCTTCAGGTAATATGCTTGGATTATTTTCATACTTATAAAAGGAGTATAACTGTTTTCTTTTGGTTTTCGAGGTGAATGATCACCATAAGTATTGTCTATATAGTAATGTAGGTTTGAGTTTTGATTTTTGAAAGCATTTTTTTGTTGTCTTCCTTAATGGTGCCATTGTCATTTTAAATTATTATGTCTCATATTCATGTGTAGAATTCTGATATAAAGAATCCAAAACCCATTAAGAAAGGGTCAATTTTATGTCAGTTTCTTGATTGATCACTGAATATACAGAATAAACCTAGTGGAAGTGGTATCCAAATTGATTTTAATGAAAAATGTACTTGTAAATTTTAGTTTTTGAAAGTTTATTTGGTCCTTTTAAAATCAGTAACCAAACTACAAGCACAATTCGAATAGAATAGTGGCTTTAATCAGGGTTCAATTTCAAGGACTAAGAGTCGGAAATTAAGTTTCAGATTAATTCGGAAATTGTGATTGTGATAACTAAATTAAGAACGAAAATTAAAATTCTACTAAATTAAATATAATCAGGAAAAGTAGTGATTTTAAAGTTAAGAAAAAAGACACAGGGATTTGAATCCACCCTAATGCTGTAACTTTGATTTACGTATTAATTCAAAGAACCTATTGATTAAAATAATTATGACACATTGTAGCTACAAGCCTAATGGTGTCGTCAAGAGGATTATGTGATTGCTAATCAGGTATAACTATCTTTGTCTAGTACAAATCATTTACAACCAACTTGAGTATGAATTGTCTAATTTAGAATGAGGTTATCTCGATTATCAGTCCCATATACACATAAAGCTATTGTATAATCATACATTCAAAATCATCGAAATCAAATACAAATTGCAAAATTGAAGTAATCAAGTTCCATTGAATGAAAATGCCTAAAGTTATACAATTGTCATATCATCAATCAATCGTAAAAATTATAATACACAAATCATTGTTATTTGATTTGGGTTTCATCTAAACCCTAAAAAGAAGAGAATCAACCGCTCATGGAGAAGGAAGAGGACACAATCTTCAATGATAGCACCATTATAAAACGTCAAAATCTACCCTTCTAGAGTAGGAGGCCTCTCAAAACATGAACCAACACTACAGTAGAGTTAGTAGACATGTTTATACTTTACTGCCAAAACCCATCCGATTTCTGTCAAAATTTGTGTTTTTACTTAACTTTGCATGAGTCTCGCATGACCTACGCCTGAGAGCACCAATACCTACGACTGAGCGGGCGCACATGGCCAATGGCAATTCTTCAAAAATTCCTCAAAATCCTCTCCTATGCAGGACTCGCAGTCTAGCACACCATGACCAAGGTTGTTAAGATCGGGATCCTACACAGGATTGTTTTGGGGGTCTGTCGGATCGGATCGTAAGATCGGATCGAGGATCGTAAGATCCTACTAAAATGATAAAAAAATGCAATAATTTTTATATGACTAAATAATACTATCAAAATATATATAGATAAGCCTCAAAAAAAGAAATATAGCAATTCAACGTAGTATTCAAACATTTTTTTTCAAAAAAAGAAGTCAAAAACATAATAAAAGCAAATACCAACACTTGCATCCCATTGTCATTGTTTCTTAATGAAAACAAAACAAACTAAATAAAGGAAGAACAAATAAAAGACTAAAATAAGTCATCATTGTCGCCGAAATTATCATCATTATTGCCACAATCAACATTAATCATTACCACATCATCATCATCACCACCGACGGTGCCATCCAAGTCCTCAATGTCTTCACCAATAGTAATCTGAGGAGGAACAGAACCAAATAGAAAATTTGAACTCAAATTCAAATGTTCAAGTGATCAACACATCATTCATACAAATATATATATATACAATATATAATTAACAGAAACAAAAATAAAATAAAATAAGAGAAAAAAAAAGAGCAGCAAATTCGGTATATATATATATATAATATACAAAAACATAACAAAATGAGAGCAACGAAGAAAGAAAAAGAGCAGCAGCGAAGAAAGAGTTGAGCAGTGATGAAGCAGTTTAGTGAAGAGAAAGGAACAAGAGCTGAGCATCGAAGAAAGAAAAAGAAGAGAATATCGAAGAACAACGAAGAAAAAGAAAAAAAAAGAGTAGGAAGATTCGAAGAAGAAGAAGATTCGAAGAAAAAGAAGAGAAGATCGAAGAGCAGCGAAGAAAAAGAAAAAAAAGAGAGGAAGATTCGAAGAAAAAGAAGAAGTGTACTTGGTTTGTGGCTGATTCTGAAATTTGATGTTGAAATTTGATGTTGATTTTGAAATTCGAAGAAGAAGAAGAAGAAGAAGAAGAAGAAGAAGAAGAAGTGGTGTATTGCCCTAATCGCAGGTCTGCTTGCTTCGCTTCTCTGCCTCTCTCTTTTTTTTTTGCTCCCGATTTTGCTTTTAAGTTGCCAAAATACCCTTCAAATCTGGATCGCATGGAGTCGGGATCCAGATACGATCCCAACGATCCTAGCGATTCTTACACGATCCCACGACGATCTTGATCTGGGGTCGATCCAAAGCATGAGTCAGATCGAATGATGTATATTGGATCGTAGGATCATACGATCCTACGATCCGGATCGCGATCTTAACAACCTTGACCATGACTTGCACCCGAGCACAACTCGTTTCTCCCAAGTCCGACTTTTTGCATCCTATTTTTGATAGGTCCCATGCCTTGATCCTTCTAATACTCTAGATTAGACTCAATTTCATCCCACGGACCCGAGTAATCTGCACAACATGCAAGTCCATTAGAATTGCCAAGTAACAATGATTAAGAACATAACAAGTGTACTTTAAGGGTCTCAATGCATGCATTTCGGCACCTATTACACCTCCCAACTTACACTTTGCTAATCCACGAGCAAAGCAAAAATAAGAAGAAAACTATACTAAGCCACGTTTGCATTACAATTGCATTTACCATATGCAATAAGCTTCAAACCACAAGGTTATCCCTAGTGGATGAATTATAGTCTCATGAGAGTTTTCAGAGATGTTACCCACAAACATCAAATATGCCATCCACGTACCCACAAGAATGATGTTCAATCCTGGATTATGAATTCCAACTACACTTCAACTTACACACCTCACAAGAACGTCAAGTGAAGTCAACCAATAGTTTTCATTCATAGACAGAGTTAAACAAAGAAAACTGTATTCATTCTCAATATGCAAGACATTTTCTTCCCTATCTATAATTAGATAGAAAGATACACAAATGCATTCGGTGTAAAGTGGACACTCACGCAAAGATGTAGCATGAATTCAGCCCTAGAGCCAAATCTTACACATCCTGCAATTCCACGACTTTCCATGACCTACAATAACTCAACTAATTGAAGCAAAACTAACTTATTCATCGGTTACTAAGTAGAAAACGTTAAAGGATGCTATGCTTCTTTATCCTTCATATTTTTTTTACTGCATGGGATGGGACAATCTAATCATCATGGGATGGGACACGCAAGATAAGAGAGCTAATATCATATTACCAACTTCATCCAATGCATGAATGTGTAGTACATAAGCAAAATGCATCAGTGATCGATTTTTATCCAAGCATTACGAATGAATAATAAGCAAACACAATAAAATGCTGTCTTAGTGTTCCAAGGTTTGATTCCATCAATGAATATCAACTCGAGTGTTACACCCTTCTAACATTCTCACAAAGCATGCAAGTCGAAACCATCTAGACTCATAATTCTACACTAAAACACCTATCTTATGGTACCATGAAGGACAAATTTTTTTTTTTAAACTAATTTTTTAAATTAATGTTATTATTATTATTTTATTTTTTTTAAAGAAAAGGAAACTGTTAAAAAAAAAAAAAAAATGTTCCCACCCTTAACTTGAATGACAGTGTCTTCACTGGCGAACTATAAAGAACAACAAATCAGCAATAACACACATAGAGGATGGAATAGTTATCACTTAAGGAGCTCACATGTCTGAATAGATAAACTGAGAAACAACCAGTAAACAAATTCTCTGCAAAAGAGGAGCAATCCCAACAATAGACAGGATAAAAAGAACACAAGGAAAGACAATGTACAATAGTTAAAACTAAAAGGAGATAAGAGTACTTAACCACTCATTTCACTAACCCCTCACCAAGGCTCATTGAAAACCTGGGCATTGGGTGGCAGAGGATGCTGGCTAAGCAAGGCATGGCGCATGGCTCATGTCTCAAAGATGTCTCACTAATGATGGTTGACGAGCTCTGAAGCTGTTAGGACACCCTGCCCAGCTGCTCCCCCAATTTGACGCACCCATACCTCATAAACTCCAAAGCGCAACTTCTCATACTGTGCCTGTGTCATGTGGAAAGGAATCTGATCGGAGTCGGGTTTATCTGCATCATCATTGTCGTGTGCTGGTACGTCATCAGGCTGAGCAGGCGATGGTGGACCGACAGGATGCTGCATGTGTCGGAGATTGGCAAGGCACCGAGTCGGTCCAAAGGGAATAATAGTAGGGGCTGCCTCCTCGGAAGGGGAAATAGCATAGTTATCATGATGAACAAGAGCGAGATACAATTGGAAAAGGGCATATCCTCCAAGTCTGAGTTCCTTGTGTCCGCCGCACACTAAGGTCGTCATGGCAGCGATGCATATGTGTCGCTGCATTTGCTGAAAGATAAGCTCCGATATATCCACCCAATGACATATAGTTTCTCTTCCGAAAATGACCTTTCGAGTTGGGAATATTTTATCCTGGGAAAACAATAGAAAAAAGTCTTTATTTCGATAGTTGTAGCTTTGCTTAAAAAATTAGTAGCATATGTGGTATAAGTCTACAAATTTTGTTTTGTTTTGTAGTTCTTTTTGTTTTTTTTATTATTATGTTTTCTATAGCTGTCCTTACAAATTTTGTTTTTCCATGGTTTTCTCCAATTCAGTCTTTTTGCACTTCTGTAGATAAGTTATTATTTCCTCCACTTTGTCCTCTTTATATATATATAGACACTATTAAGTAAAGCCAAAACTCAAGTTGGTGTATATATATATATATATATGAGAGAGTGTGTGTGTGTGTGTGCGCGCGCGTGATATTTTGATTTTGGATGTTATGTGAACTTTCAGGAATTTAATTAGTTAGATCTCAGTTCTCAACTGACTACTATACTGCTCTCTGCCAAATTAATGTTTTGATAATTTTTTCATAATGATGAGGCAACATTGGCACACTTGGGTTGTAGTTTTGGAACAAGGGTTGAGAAAGTGACCTATGGCCAAAGGACAGTCACATGCACTGATGCACAATTTATAAAATTATTTTTATTCTGTTTGATCATTCTTTTAATTTTAATTGTATCGAATCCATACATGCCAATGGATTGGGAGGGCTGTCTTTGAGAAGAGCTTCGGGATTTAGGTTATATCCCTCAACAAATTCAAGTAATTTTCTGTAGTTCAAAACGTAATTGTTATGTTCCAGACAAATAACTTGGCCTATGAGAGCTTTCCAAGGAGAAGACTAATCTTTTAATGTTAAGTTTTCCACTTATCTTGTTTACCTAGGTTAGTGTATGGTAGAATATCTGGTGTTAAAATCATTATTTTTTTTCTTAATAAGGTTGATCTGCCATGGCGAGTAACTTTTTTATTTTTTATTATTATTTTTTTATTTTTTATGCCCAATGGCTTGACTTTTGTAATATTTTTGGAGACATATGACACTAATGTTTTGTCTATGCATTTCTAAATAAAGTGAAACTAAAATCTTGATTGGTTTTAGGAATTCACTCCAGAGGCTGGAAGGTATGATGTTATATGGGTTCAATGGTGTATTGGGCATCTTGCAGATGATGATTTTGTATCATTCTTTAAGAGAGCAAAGGTAAGGTCTCCTACCTATCATGACTACTCGTTTGTGGGATCTCAAAAAAGATTGGCCATCAATGACTAAAATCCCAAGTATCCTGTAAAGCATTTATCATCTTATTGAATATCCATTCACATTTTAGTTTTGCATACTCAACTAATTAAAGACAATTTCTCATGAGTTAAATCACCTCATCTTGTCTCACACATTTAGTAGAAACATTTCAGATGTGGGGAGAACAAAGTTTTCACTCATCTGGGCTCATAATTTTTCCATCTATTAGCCCATTAAATAAAATATTGGATTTAGACACCTGCCTATTGTACCTGCAATTTAGTTACACTTTATCATTCCCTCTATGTTGTAAATTGTGCTTTGTTATGTGTTACTTATAGGGAATCTTAGTCTTAGGTCTATATAGACTTTGTTACTCTTTCATTGTTTTTCCTCCACTCTTCATTTTTTGCATTTTTTCTATCTTATATAGGCCAATCCACTTCATTTTGCTTTGATTTAACTATTGAAATGATGAAAGTGATGCTGTTTGGTGTTTAGGACAACTTACAATCCTTGGATGAATAGGTGCTGACAAAGCCAATTCCACCTTGTAATACATCAAAGAGAAGATTTCTACCTGAAGAAGTAAGCCAGCTCTGAGGTTTTCACAGGAGACATCTCTTCAAGCTCACCCTGTTTCTCTCTCGCTCGGTCATCAGACCACCATCATTGTCGGACCACCATCATCACAACATTCGAAATGGTTTGATCTCTTTTCTGAGTGAAATGCTTTCTGTTTTCTGAAATGGCTTTATGAAGAATGCTCTCATGCTTTGTGAATCCAAGTGCTTTCATGCCTAATATGCACCCTGTGAATATTAGGCATGAGTACTCTACTTTGATAAAAAGAGATCTTCTCAAGTGGTTTTAAAGTGGGTTTATACAAAATTAGATTGATCTGTTTATTTCAAATGGTTTCTATGGGTTTCTCTAAAATGGGTTTGAGGGTTTTCTAATAGATGAAAAGGCATGAGATGAGGGGGAAACCCTAACTTTCTCATTGGAGGTAAGTTCTAATATATTTGTTTACATGTTTGTTCTGTTTTTGATCTTGTTTAGATTTGTATTGAACAACTCTGTTTAGATTTGTATTAAACAGAGTTGTTCATTGGAGGTAAGTTCTAATATATTTGTTTACATGTTTGTTCTGTTTTTGATCTTGTTTAGATTTGTATTGAACAACTCTGTTTAGATTTGTATTAAACAGAGTTGTTCATTGGAGGTAAGTTCTAATATATTTGTTTACATGTTTGTTCTGTTTTTGATCTTGTTTAGATTTGTATTGAACAACTCTGTTTAGATTTGTATTAAACAGAGTTGTTCATTGGAGGTAAGTTCTAATATATTTGTTTACATGTTTGTTCTGTTTTTGATCTTGTTTAGATTTGTATTGAACAACTCTGTTTAGATTTGTATTAAACAGAGTTGTTCATTGGAGGTAAGTTCTAATATATTTGTTTACATGTTTGTTCTGTTTTTGATCTTGTTTAGATTTGTATTGAACAACTCTGTTTAGATTTGTATTAAACAGAGTTGTTCATTGGAGGTAAGTTCTAATATATTTGTTTACATGTTTGTTCTGTTTTTGATCTTGTTTAGATTTGTATTGAACAACTCTGTTTAGATTTGTATTAAACAGAGTTGTTCATTGGAGGTAAGTTCTAATATATTTGTTTACATGTTTGTTCTGTTTTTGATCTTGTTTAGATTTGTATTGAACAACTCTGTTTAGATTTGTATTAAACAGAGTTGTTCATTGGAGGTAAGTTCTAATATATTTGTTTACATGTTTGTTCTGTTTTTGATCTTGTTTAGATTTGTATTGAACAACTCTGTTTAGATTTGTATTAAACAGAGTTGTTCATTGGAGGTAAGTTCTAATATATTTGTTTACATGTTTGTTCTGTTTTTGATCTTGGTATTGTGTTGTATCAACCAAGAGACAATCAAATGAAAGAATTGACAAAAGAGATGTGATGCCCAAATCAAATTAAGGGAAAAATAAAAAGTATACCCAGTTTAGTACCCATTAGATGGGGGGTTTGGGAGGGGTAGATGGGTACCACTGAACTAGTGGCCTCCTATTAAAATAAAGGAAAAATAAAAAGAAATGTATAGTCAACTCAGGACTTAAAAGCCCTTCTTTTTTTTTTTTTTTTTTAGTGCAAGACTTAAAAGCTTCTGTATCTCTACACTTGTAACATTGTTGATTTGAAATTTAAGTAGATGAAATGTATGACTAGACATCTATTGTAAATATGATATTGAAATTGGAAAAAATGAGATAAACTTGTAGTATGGTTGAATTTTTATTCAAATTTTGCAGGTAAGGATGGTTCTCTCTTGTTTTGGGGGAAATGAAGAGGAATCAGGCTGACCTCAACTATCTAGTCAAATAGTCAAATACTGATGATGTCTGAAAACAATTTGAAATCCCAAGTATCCTGGGAATGCTTAAGTCTTGAGGTCAAAAATTTTAATAATTAAATAAAACCAAGCTAAGTACACATACTGATGATGACGGGTATGGAAAGAAGAAGAATAGCAAATATGGAACTTCCCATAGACTACTCCTAGGTAGGATCGAATTACTTCTCAATGTGTCGTTCCATTCACAAAAACAGAAACATTTAGGAAAAGTTTTGGAACCTTTTTGAAGGCGACAAAAAGAATTTGAATAAAAAATGCTTGAAAAAATGAATTGAAATATATCTAAATATATATGTAAATTAAAAAAAAAAAAAAATTCAATGTTGTTGCGAATTAAAAATTGTTAAATATTGTCAAATTACTCAATTTTATTAATCATGAGTGTAAATGATTCTAAAATTATGTACAATCCCAAGAAAATAAGGTCTAATTTGTTAATTATTATTATGTTATTATTGCTATTTTTACTGCTACTACTACCACGACTACTAGTAGCAGCCTTGAGGAGGATCATTCAAACAAGTTTTCCACTTCTCTTGGTTGATTGCTGCTCAAATCATCTCCTTTTTGGAATTCTATTGGCCAATTAATATTTGACCACATTGAGCATTCTTTTAGTAGATAAAAGTGGATTTGATTCAATTTCATTTTGGCCTAACCTTGCTTATACACTAGGCAGTACTTGAGGTTTTAAAATATGAATACCTGCTAAACTACATATCATTTGTTTTCTAGGATTTGTGTTGGATAAAGAAGATAAGAGCGTTACCAGGTCAGACTTATACTTCAAGGAGCTCTTCAATCAATGTGGATTGCATATCTACAAATTGAAGGTAAGCTCAGACCTTTTATTTTTACATACTGGCCAAATTGGACCATCAAAATTCAAACATGGTTTCATTAGTGGAGAAAAAGAAATATATATGTAAAAGATCAAGTTTCCATGTCCCAAGCAAAAGTCGTTTTTAGTATTGGAGAGCATTGTTCATTTTTTTTTTTTAAAGAGAGGTGTATGAAGTATAATACTGTCTAGAATCCTCAGATGTTCACCTTTATGAATTTCCAAAGCAAGTTGAAATAAAATGATAGTTCCTCGGAGTTTCCTATTTGTAATGTGGTGCTTTGACAATTTGATTAGCAGAAGGCAAGTGCATGTTAATTGGTGTTGTATGTGTAAACATGATGAGAAATTGGTTAGCCATCTCCTTATCCATTGTGAGGTGGCATTGGGAGTTGAAGATCTAAGGCTTGAGACTTGGTCTTATTGACTTTGATGTGGGTAGTTTGGGGAGAAAGTATCAATTTTGCGGTTGAAGAGTAGATTACTTTCCTTTTTGTATAGTTGGTTTTCGAGGACTGTTAATTCATCTTTGGATTAATTTGTGGACTTGATAGAGGCATTTGAATAGGCACCTTGATGTTTAGATGGTTTAGTTCTTACTCCAATCACCTTCTCTGCCTCTAACTGGCTTTGACAATGTCCTCAATCTAACATTGTGTTAATTCCATTGACCGATAATGTTATGCACGCCAGAATAAATCCAGTATCAAAGCCTTTAACTTCAATTCTTCCCTCAAACAAATTGGAAAAAATTGATGTTCGACGATCCACTTTTAACAAACCTCCACAACCGTCTCTTAATAATTTGAATGTCTTGTAGCCAATAACAAAAAGGCAACATCCAGTTCTCATAAGAAGTAATTACTTTCCAACACATAGAACTCTTTGGTTTCCATTTTTGCATCACTACCATGAAAGGTCCCTCCAAAAAATGCCTTGCTTTGCTTCCAAACTTGTCAGCCTTCTCCTTGCTGTTTTAAAAAACCAGAGCTTTATTTGATTGGAACGGGAAAATTCTTCTCAAACATACCTAAGGTTTTTGAATCTGGAATGGAACCATTAATCATGTAAATTCTCTCTTGTAAATGCTATTACTCACCTGATTTCTCACAGAAATAATCTCGATTACAAACTCTATTTGCCCTTGTTATTTGTGCTCTGCCCCTGTTTCTATGTGCCCTCTTAAGTTCTACTGATAGTCCTTGCTTTTATCCCTGAACAGAATGTATGCATCATTGTAGCCATATCCAACCATCCTGTAAGCCCATGATATTAGATGGAATGATACAAATTTCTTCTTTTTACCACATTCCCATTTCAAAACTTTTTTAAAAAATCCATCTTTTGTTAGATAATTTCACAACCGATGCCATAGAGTTGCTACATCAATGTTTTCGGAAGAATGATCCCCCTTCGATGAATGTAGCAGCTTTCTTTAAAACCTAAACAATCGGTAACGCAGAGCCTAGATCCACAGTTAACTCATAACTTTGCATTTTCTATATCTTTCAGTAACTCTGATAAGCTCCCCACCTCGCGCTCCATCAATTTGTAATTTGAATATTTATGATCCTTATTATGATTCCTGTAGATCTTATTGTAGCAAACTTTATCAAAGACCTCATATTCAAGACATAGAATCAACACAAATCCCATTATTCCAAATGACTTGATCTCTTCTCTTCCC